TCATCCGCAAGGTGAAGTCGTCCTACGTTTTGGTCAGAACTTAAATGTTTGTTATCGGTTGAGGTGTGACGGGATTGTCCAGTAGTTAAACCATTCGCTCGTCGAGCCAAAACTCGGGTTTAATTTCACACTGAGTACAATGGGAACCGCGAGTTTCCTGGAGTATTATTAAAATCGGTTTAGAAGCTAACTCACTCACTCAGTATTGGAAACCCATTACTGGGGTCTCTCGCCATGATATTGCTGAAATATTGACAAAATATCGATAATCCAAACTCGCTCACTAACTCAATATTTGAAACAATTCCTGATGATCTCGACCGTGATCGGTCATTCAATCTTGTCTGCTGATTGGCTCTACGTGGTACACATACTACATAGGGGAAACCCCTTGAATTTTCTGAACTTTAGAAACCGCGCGGGGTAATCTTAGCCATCTCTATGCTCTAGTTATTTTCAATGACGGCTTCTTCAAACTACAATAGAACGAGCGAGACCACAACCGTTGCTTTACCGTTAGGGTATAACCAAGGCATTGAATACTTATCCAAATACAGAAAACTATGTTTATAACGAACACACTTAAAACGAACTAACCGATATCACGAACTTTGTTATGGGTCCCGGCCATTTGCTGTATATGATTATAGTGAGTGAGTGACGCCGCTTTTAACAGTATTCCAGTTATATCGCGGCGTGTCAGCTTAATGATGGAGATAAGCCCGAAGTGATGCAGGTCTCAGACGTTTACCACTTCGGTGGTATATGATTATAACGAACTACGGTTATAACGAACTTTAATTTGTGGTCTCTTTGAGAATATAATAACCGTAGTTTACTGTCCCAGCAAAATACATGAAATAAAGTATCTGCAATAATGCAATGAATGTTGGGCCCCCTCAGCATGTTATTACTTCTACATAACCTACTGAGTAAGTCTTGTCACTTTCTTGTTAAAACGAGGGACTTCATTCACTTCACTATCATGGTCACTGGTTTGTTAGCAGTACAGATGTAGGCCATCGGCCCATGGTACATTATCTCTTACAGAATACATCTCTGTCTAATCGTACAATATAATAACATAAAGCGACAAAACCCTTTCCATATCCAATAGAAATCTCTGCATAAAGTAGAGTTGATTGTACGATTCCGACTACATCATAAGCATGTGTTTATGAATCACTATCAGATAGTAATGATACCAGGTGTTCGCGAAAAGGTTAGCTTAGCCTGCGTCACTGGTGGCAGTCGTTATAAACACATGCACAGGCAAGTCAATTTGGCACCTGAAAAGCCACGAGAACATATGGTGCAAGTCAAAATAGGGGATTGCACCGAACATCATTTTTATTGTGTGACCTTGTTTAGGGCTTCAGATCACAACAATAAATGTTTTCTAACATTCTTTGTGACCTGGGACGGTGGGATAGCCAAGCGGTTAAATCGTTCGCTGGTCACGCCGAAGACCCGGGTTCGATTCCCCACATGGGTACAATATGTGAAGCCCTTTTCTGGTGTCCCCGGCGTGCTATTGCTGGAATACTGCTAAAAGCGGCGTAAAACCATACTCACTCATTGTGTGGTAAAAAGGTATCTACATTTGTTAAAACTGTTTAATTTGAGGAAGACAGGAGTCTAGTAACTCATCTCGGTGATGAATGGACATAATATTTCTGGTGTAAGTACATTTGTAGATATTCACATTACAGAGAAGCAGTAAATGATTCTCGCCAACTATATCGCCCCGATTGCAAGCCTTTTCCCTGGTACATGTATGTGTACGTATCTACCTGTCTCTATCCATTACTCAAGGGAGCTACAGCGGAACTGTGCATACAGGGTTTGCTTATTGATACTCTTTTACATTAGGCGCAAGAGAAAATTGATTCTCGAAAAAAGAATACTGAAACATCTTGGATCTACCACACTCTTTGCCAGCATAAAGCTTGTCCAAGATCCGCCGTGACATAGCGTACATACTTTTGGAATACTCTTAAAAACAAACACATCCTCACAGGACCACTTACAGATATCCTGGGGGCACGGGTGGCCCAGTTGTCTGAGGCACCGCGCTTCGCTGTGCAGTTGCGGCCCTTGGGCACGCCAGAAACCTATGATTGTGGGTTCGAATTCCGGTTCGCCCCGATTATGTTTCTAGGTTTGTCAGCACCATACCTTTGCTCGTGGGTTTCACCGAAGTGGTAAACATCTGAGACCTGCATCACTTCGGGCTTTCCTCCCACATTAAGCTGACACGCCGTGATATAACTGGAATACTGTTAAAAGCGGTGTTAAACCCAACTCACTCCCTCACTACAGCTGTCCTAGGAGGAGTCTCACGCAGTCATATAATATTGTCATGTTCTGCTGAAACACCCTTCTGTTATTGTCAGATTAATGTGCAGCCATGTACATACACAATCGTGTTGAATACTTCATTTGACTTCATTGTTTCATATTTCCAAACTTTCAATGTAAAGGATAGGGTAAGATGAATACATACTTACTCAATGTAACTTTTGTAGACACCGAGAAATATCTGCTTGTTTTAACTACCAGCATACTAGACACCCAGAAATATCCGCTTGGGTTAGCAGCTACCACGCAGTATTATATAAACCTTCCTAGCGATTCAGAACAGTACTCCAGGAATACCTGGTTGTCGTGTCTAGAAAACACATATGCCTAGACAATGCGCGTATTCTTATACTCTGACTGGGACATAATTAGTAATATCATCTAGCGTGTCGAGACCTTCACCAATGGCAGCACTGTAATATTACTTCCTGGTGAGTGAACCAAGTCTATGTTTGGGTAAATATTCGCGTGTTTGTGTGTGTGCGTGATTGTGTGTGTGATTGTGGGTGAGTGCGCGTAATTGTGAGTGTCCGTGATTATGACTGTGTGTGCGCGTGCATGTGGGACTTGAGGCGACAGGCTGGTGGGGTGGGTGGTATTCATGTAGCAGTAGAGACCAGGGGGACTTGCGACGACAGCCTTGTGGGGTGGGTGGTATTCATGTAGCAGTAGAGACCAGGGGGACTTGAGAGGACAGCCTTGTGGGGTGGGTGGTATTCATGGAGCAGTGGAGACCAGAGGGACTTGAGACGAAAGGCTGGTGGGGTGTAGGGAGGGTATTCATGTAGCAGTAGAGACCAGGGGGACTTGAGACGACAGGCTTGTGGGGTGGGTGGTATTCATGGAGCAGTAGAGACCAGGGGGACTTGAGACGACAGGCTGGTGGGGTGGGTGGTATTCATGTAGCAGTAGAGACCAGAGGGACTTGAGTAGGGTCTGGGTAGAAAGACATGCTCGATGGTATCTCAAAGGTTGTGAAATATAATAACCAAAGGTTGGAGCTGCTGGAATATTGCTCGACATACAGGGAAAGTTGAAGTCATCCATCTTGTCATACTCAAACACACACATCCATATTTTATTCCGTGATGTTCCGGACACCTACATGATTGAAATAGTGCAGCATCTCGGAGGCCGACCTGCCTGTCGGAGTGACAAGTCCACAGTAACACAAAAGTATGCGAAATTTAATCCTGAGGCGAATTACTTTCAAACTGCCATTTATCGTATGTACATGCATAGTCAACCTACGCGCCATGCACTGAAATTTTACCGACGCGATGTAAAGCGCTTTCACTTATCCACAATGCCTTGCTTCGGTGGCCAGCTGGCCCTGAAACTCGCTGGCCATGATTCTAATCTGCTGTTATCTACTTTGTATTGACAACACTGTGGACACATATATTTAACTAATCGAACGCGTGTGATTTGTTGATTGTGTGAATTTCTGTATATGGATATGTATATGTATATTTATGAATATGTTAAAATAAATTTTGTGTATAATTTGATGAATTTATACTTTTGTATATGTGGTAGTTTAACTTGCATGTGCATTTGCCCTTCAAGAAAACTTTAAGCTCAAATGTTTTTGTAGCAGATTTTCACTTCCAACTACTAGCCTCAGATCACGTAAACCATTAGAATCAAGTTAACTCTTATTGGTTTATCCATTAAAAATCATGAGACAAACTCATTTCAGTTGCCATACATGTATCTCTCAACATGTCTCGACGTCAAGTCTTGCAATAGTCATGCTACCTGGAATGCACAAGGTTAATTATTTGTAGCTGTATCCCTGACCTGTTAACATCACAAGCATGAGGATGTAGCGTGCTGCATGGACAAGGTCGGTCACAAATTGAGTTATCAGTCAACGATTGCTACAATCCATAGCTGATGCTGTGCAGATACCAGATCGTGGCAGGAGTTGCTCCACTAGCACACAAGCACAAGTACCCAGAGGGTAGAAATATCGAATACAATAACTTTCCCATATTTGTACGTGTGCATTCCAACAATTATTATGCTGATTGATGATGACGTCACAGACCTTTATTGTTTCGAACACGACATCCTCGTAGGGTCAGAAATTTATATATTACGTCATCTAAACAATAGACAGACTTCAGTGAAGTTTCTGTTCATGGTTGACATTTAAATAGTTGTTCTTCCCTTCTTTCTTAAAATGACAATAGTTCACACAAGATACCAGTATGTTCATTTGTGCATTGAACCATTCTTATATCTCTTGAATATCAGAAAGCCTTCATTTATTAACCAACATGTATGGTATCCCTGTTTCTTTTGGCGGTGAGAATATACGTAATCTGTGTTTCAATGTTGGAGAGGACCGAAGCCCTAGATATTCGCAAGGGCACATGACACCACGAGGAATACAATCTTCCTCAAATGTTATATCAACTCCAACGTCCACCAAACATAATTATGCACATTTTCAGATTAATTGTTTTACTTGTATTGATATTTAAGAAAGTTGTATTCCCATGACACATTGATAAAACGATGAATGTAACACCCATACACAACCTTGACACACAACGTAAGTCAGGTCTTCATGTGATGTCCACACTATGAGCCCTATGTTCTGATATAGAGCCTGACCTGGCGGATATAAGATCGACTGATACGTAATCTATACCTCAAGTGTTTGCGTATCTCCACAGTTTGAAGATGTGTCTCAAGAGCTGGATATACGTATTTCTGTTTTCGTCGTTCTGTGTCAGTAAGTATATTTTTATACATGAATGATGGACGACCTTAAACAACACTATCGTTCGGAACCAGGTGTATCCAAACTTCATTAGCAAATGTATTCATGTAACTCTCATGGTTCATAAACTATTGCATTTCTTAATGGCGGCATTAAACTATCATTAACTAATGGTACTTGAAGTAAGAAAGAGCGGAAGACGGGTTGTTTGATCCCCGAACCGTAAAACATGTTGTTGGTACAAGGACTGGTCGCTCGGAGTCTGTATACTGTGAAAGTGGGTATTCATGTTAAACTGGGGCATGGTATCTTGTGGGCTAGCACCATAACATCGGCCTGGATATTTTCCCAGTGCAAGATTATGGTTCCACACACACGTGCATGCACGTCGTTGCATAAGTGTAACAATCTTGGATGTAACGTTAAACCCCATTTCACCTCGCTTATAATCTCACCCGAGTGTCTTTTGATATCAAATGGATCGGCACGAGTTTATAAAAGTCGAAAAACTCATCGGCAAGCCTCTGAGTTTTTCCATTTGTATCAACGAGTGTTGATTTATTTGATATCAAAAGACACGAGGGTGAAATTTTATTTATCATCCAACATAATGCTTCCAACGTTTTCAGTTTGTAGACAGTAATAAGCAGTGTCTTAAGTGTAAAAAGTACTGCTAGCAGCTTCAGTTGCATTGGTGATGTCATTGATAATGACGTAATGTAACAATGATGTCACAATGGTCCCAAAAGCACTGTGAAGCAATTTCATGTCAGTGATATCTACAAAGTAGATATCGCTTGATCTCACCCAAGCGACATCTCCTGTGGGAGCCAGTTTTGGAAGATAAATATGATTTCCATTAACGTGGCATTCAATTTGGCTCTACACATATAATATTCCCACAAGTCAGTTTCAATAAATATTCAAATTCCCCTTTTCTGTCTTCATGAGTTTAACATAGGAAGAAGCTCTCCTCTCGAATCGGAAGTGTTGTACTTCGCAACTGCCCAATGCAGCACCCTTAACGTTTATGTTGTGATGTACTTTGAGTTTTCAATGCACAACGCAAAGTGTGTCTTGGTGTATCAGTACCCTGAGAGGTCCATATACGCCAACAATGCAGACCTCACTGGTGCCGAGGTGTCCTGGTGGTGTATTATGAACTAATGAAACATTTTAAAATCCGGAACCATCTTTTCTAGAAACTGACATTTTGATGCAAAAGGGGAATTATCATCGGCAACATCGATGTCTTCAGTTTATTCTGATGTTAGTGTTGGATAACGTTGCTATGTTCATCAGTTAGTTTTCACATCCGCAGTCTCAGAGGGAAAGCAGGACTTTGCTGTGAACGTCAACAGTGACGGCACATACAACGTCGTTGTCCAGGGAGATGCGTGGCTGAAGAGCGCCCCCACCTTCTTCAGAGCTGATGGCCAAGTGTTCTCATCTGCCGATGGATCTCTGAAGCTGGTCAAGAACACTCAGTCCAGTGGTGTGGACGTCGTAGGGCAGTGGGAGGCCAACAGCTTCCTGTACCAGGCAGGGTCCAGTCAGATCGAGGCCAGCTTTGTACAGTACACACCAGATCCAAGCATATTCACCTACAACAATCCGGCCATACCGTTCATGCTGTTCAAACAGGTGATTAAACATGGCTTAGGATTGCATTTAGCGGTTTCTATACATACCGAGAGAGGCGCAATGTCTCCTTAAACAATACCTCCCACACAACTCAGGATGTGTCACTACACGAAGGGACAGCATGTCCCAGTGTTATGCGTGGTAACAGATGAAAGTGTGATACGAGGTTCAAATGACCGACGATTGAACTGTACTTTTCATTTAGCCGCCATATTCACATTTATTACGCCGCTCACGATTGAAAGAGCATACACATGACTGTGATCATATGTGACAGAGGTGTGTGAGTATGGTCACCGTCTTCATGTATTTTCAAATGTGTGAAAACATTATACATGCTTTTCACAGATGACACAGATTTCATTACAGTTGAAATCTTATATGACAAGGTTTAGGTTTGGATTTGGTAATGTGTGTGTGTGTGTGTGTGTTTGTGTGTTTGCGTTGTGTGTGCAGTGTGGTTTTTGTATGTGTGTTTTATGTGTGTGTGTGTGTTTGTGTGTGTGCGTGTGCTTTGTTTCTTGCTGTATGTTTATTTCTTGGCGTTGTGATGGTGTTCATTTTAGAAACATTAATCGATTAATTTGTGACTACTACAGAAGTAGCGAATGAAATGATTTCCGATGCAGTTCCCTATATTGACTTGTACCACATCTTGCATGTGTTTGTGACGGTTGTCGACTTTTCGCAAACACATGTTACCATCTTTATTTGACAGTAATTGATGCACACATGGTAATAATGTATTCGGAATCTTACAAGGAAAATGCGAGATTACTCATAATCATGGAAACGATTTCATCGCTCTTGTTTACGTACATCGACGCGAGAATCACACGCTGTTCATCATATATACGGCAAACACATACCATGCAATAATAACACGTTAACGTACATCGACGATAAATTATTATTTAATAATGTGTTCATGTAGTTTTAGAGGATCGTGTTTCAAGGTGTAGGTAGAAGTCCACATGATCTTCATATTTTCCTCATTGACACTTTGCCTGTGTACACTCTCTCCATGTTTTCTGTCATCAATGACGACAACAGCGTTACATCAATGAAGCCAACAACACCGCCTCCAACAGCAGCGACTTCACCATTTCTGGCTTTCCTGGATTTCTGATTCAAGAGTCAACCCTTCCGTTGGGCTACGTTGGTTATGGGGGACTGATGTTTGGTAGCGTGGGTCTAATGGCAGGACAGTAAGTATTTGTATGTAAAACCTATATGATATTTTACGTGTTGAAAGGACACCATACAAAGCCTCAATAGTCAAATGTTCTGTCAGAAAGGTGTTAACATCCCAATAGTCATGCATGCAAGCCTTTTTTTTCTAAATATCAACAGGTTCTCGTAAAATTACATGGAACCGCCCAAATATCAAGGGAGCCATTTCTTGCAAATATAATATTAATGATGTGTAACCAAATAACACGTTTTACTGACATATTTCTCAATCAGTTTTAACATGTGTATGCTTTTCTTTCAGATGGGGACCATCATCATTTAAAATCGACGACGGAATCGAAGGCGGACCCCTGGCGTTATTTGATCAAGCGAAGACAGCAAATACATTGATTATCTCCCCTGCCAGTCGATTTATGTCGTCATCAATATGGCGTCAGAACGCCAGCACCGGCGGGGACAATCTCTACTGGGGGACGATGGGAGGAGTTGAAAACGTCCCTCTTGGTGTTGAAACCAGTTTTATTCTGTTCTGTGGTAACCAAGGCATTAATAAGGTAAATGTTTTTCAACTTAAAATTAGCTGTCATCAGCACATAATATAATATTTTTTAGACTTAGAACATGGGATGAGTCATCAGATTATCTTTCTGTATTTTTCGTTACATGGGTGTATATATGTATTGATTGCATAATGCTTGTACATTAGATTATATATTAGGCTTTGCAAGCTTCCAGACCAGAATCCATTTTAACTTCGACACGTTCATGATAATACGGAGATGTTAATGTACCTTTGTACAAGAAACATTTGATTATGCTCGCAGGCCTTCGTAAGCTGGGGACAAATCTTGAAACAATGGCACGGGCGTACAGATCAATTTGTCAAGTCCGACTTTACGATCAACTACTTGGGGTACTGGATGGACAATGGTGAGGATACTTGGACATGTCTTGACTTGATTTGATTTTCCACATTGAACCAACTGCACATTTGGTCCCAAACTAATGCACAAATAATGTAATATATATATATATATATATATATATATATATATATATATATATATATATATCTATATATATATATATATATATATATATATATATATCTATATCTATATCTATATACATAAATCTCACAGAACATGCATACTACACAGATCTAACTTGAGGTTGTTTCGAAGTACGACAGGCAACCTTAGCATATTTTGTCAGGCAATGTTAAACAAGGCTGGCGGCGGAGAGGAATTGAATGGGTGGAAGAGCTCCACGAAGCATGGTTTCTGAGCGTGTCTGTAAACAGTAAACGTGTATGTGGTGTCATCTTTGGCAAGTGACTTTGTCCAAAAGTTGCCTCTGACTTGCAATTTTCACAATGCACAATTAACAATGCTTTTCCAAGTTCGAAAATCTTTGCAAACAAAATCATCCAAAAAGAACATGTTTGTTAAGGGGCATATTACTATTACCGGACGGAGAAAGGAAAAAACGACCAGGACACAGTGTTGGATCTCCAGACCTATATGGGACAGATTGGTGTACCAGCCAGGTTTGTTCACCTACTTATGCTAAACTATACATATGTCGTTATGTTGCTGAATTGATATATTTTCTCTATGTGTGCTAAGTTCCAGAGAAAGATGTTGTTGTGTATCTTTAGACAACAAATGTCTAATTATGTCCTAAAATGTAAAGATTTTACATTTACATAAACGTTTGTAAAGCTCTTTCATTTCATTTGGACTATTTTTACAGAGCTATATGTGTGTCTCAATTCAGTACGAAGAGTGGTATTACTGGGACGATGATCTTGTTGTTTACTCGCAAGGTATATGCAGTACGACGAGTGGTGGTATTATTGGGACAACGACCATGGTGTTGTGACGTGGTCAGCTCAGCCAAAGGTCTTCCCTAAAGGAATGCAGTGAGATATTTTTACCTTTTTAATTATATTTTTTATTTTTTTTGCTTGAGGATTAACGCCGTACTCAGCAATATTGGCCGTCTGTAAATAATCGAGGCCGGACACGATAATCCAGTGATTGACTTCATACGGAGAAACGGTGACATGCATCACCCAAGTCAGCGAGCTTCGCCACCTGACCCCGTTGGTCGAACATTGCATTAATCTATTAGAAATTGTTTTTTGTACTTTGTATTAATCAATAGAGTGACCCTCCCATTATACTAAAAACTCTTATATGCTAAAAATCCAAAATTTAAAAATATTTATTTGAGCGCACTAATGACGCAGTGAAGGTAAGTATCCTCATGGGAATACCTGTTCATCAACAATAATATGGAGTTATGAAACGTTGTTTTAGTGCGAGATTGTATATGTCCGATTATATCCCAATATGCATTTATGTAAGTAATCCATTTTTTTTATTTTATCACATTTATTACACATAATTATCAATGTATTTCCCCTGCCACAATTTATACGTTATAAATGTCTCTTATATGCTTGAAATAAAAATGTAATGTTTGTAGAAAATATGTACAGTAATATGTCTTGTAAGTTACGTGGAGTGGATATGTTAAGCAGTGATGATACATGTTCTCTCGGGACCATAGAGTGACATTTTCCCGAATGGTATTTTGAGTTTTAGTGACACTTTAATTAACACATTTTCCGCTTGTTTTACCTCCTCCTGTGACAAAGGTGGCTTTACAACAAGACAGGGTACCCCGTCGTGGCCCACAGCATGTACTGGTAAGCCAGGTCAAGGAATCAGGTTACAAGTATCAGATTTACCTTAATGCAGCCCTATTCTATTTAAGAAACATCTGAAACGAGTTTTAACACCAATACTAGCTAAACAAACACAATTACTCCAAGAAACCACATTTCATAAAGCAAGAACGAACAAGCACGGATAAAAAAACCAAACTCGTTTCAAAGTCAAGAGCAAAACGATATGTTTGATGCGTGTTTAGAATAATATATAATTCTCTCACTTGTTCTGAGGGTGAATATTCCCTTCAGAAATATGTAACTGTTTAAAATGTTCTCATTAGTTTTGATACGTCGATGGGAATTTTGTGAAAATTTCTATTTGTGAAAATACGTTTATATGTGTTCTGTCAGCAATATGTCATAACATGATGCTTTGTTAATATTCTAGGTCAAGCAACACAACCTACGCAACTGCTAATGGAGGAAAGTATGAATTCCTGATCGATGGTCATAAGTCATTACCATTGGAAGAGGTACTGACGCTACTGTTGGCTAAGACGTAAATGCTATTTAAATAGGTTCAATATTATCTCTTTTCCCCATATCTATCATTTGCTATGGGATTCTTTGTTTATTTGATTATTTTGACCATTCATGAATCACCGTACTTCTTGACATTTATCTCATTACGTTTCAGAGATTTTGGACGGATTTGCTCGCTGAGTCCAGGAAATGGGGTCTGTTTGTCTACGAACAGGTACTTCTTCTAATTACCAACCATAAAACGAAAGATATCAAACCAAACAGTTCATATTTATTTTGATTTTGTCCTAATCTTGTTTCATTCTTGTAGGATTACCTCAATGTTGAATTTCAACAAATCAAAAAACTTCTGAGTGACATTGACTTAGGCAGCCAATGGCTGACTCAGATGGGGAATGGAGCTGCCAAGAACGGATTGACCATCCAGTACTGCATGTCCTTGCCGCGACATATGCTGCAGTCTCTGGAAATACCTGTCGTCACACAGGTGAGGGGAGAGTAAGATGCCGAATTTAGCCAAGCTCCAGGCTTGTACATTGGGTCCTACCAGGTGTGAGTAAGTGACTATTAGATAGTCATTAATTGAATTAGTTATTGAATTGGGTGTGACGCCACTTTGAACAATATTTCTGTTATGAGGGGTAAATGAGTGTGTATGAAGAGGACTGTTAACAACGGTCCGACCATATTTAGGTGATGTTTTAAATGAGTGTGGATTTATTCTGATTTAGCAATACATCCATGAAGTTATATCATGACGTGGAATTCCTCATATCAGCTCACCTTTTGAAACGATATTATTAATGAATGTAGAACGCCAAACATCATACTGATTTAGCATTAGCTATGTCCCATGTTGGGAATGGAAACGAGCAACACATAACCACATACTAGTATCTACCCCTTCACCCCGGAAATAGACCAAATATATGTATGCACTTTGTCATTTTGAACTTTTTAAAGTAATGTGATGTATGTTTCAGGCTCGTGTAAGCCACGATAACCGACCAAACACTGACAACTGGAAGATAGGTGTGACGTCACTATTTGCTTGGGCTATTGGCATTTCGCCCTTCAAGGATAACTTTTGGACCACCAAGGTTGAACCCGGAAATGGTTACAGTATGTAGAACATTAATCGACACAAATGTTTCATTGAGTCTAAGTTTGATTTCTTAATAGAACAATTTCTTGTTGAGTTGGAATGGTCAAAGGAGTTATATTAAGTCACATTCATAACAGCTCAATCAACATGTCTATTTGTAAAATCTTCACGATGTCATTTCTTGTTCGGAAACTGTCAAAATAGTTTTGCATATCGTGACTATATTCAGAAAAGGATACCGATTATGGCAATTGGATAATGTGTTTCAGATAATACGGAACCGCACACGTCCCTGCACGCCGTGGTTGCAACTTTGAGTACAGGCCCAGTAGGAATTAGCGACATGGTCGGGGGCATGAACAGGACACTCATCATGAAGTAGGTTGGATGTTTGAAAAAAATGAAAGTACTTTTTACACTAACAAATAATAATTACTTCTTCCTAATTGTTCTCTGAAGTTGTTCAATATCCTTTATGACTGTATATGTTTGTAAATGTACTTTTTACTTATTATTTAGTATTCTTATATATATTATTTAGTTATTATTATCCTGTAATTATCAATATTCCCGCATCTATTAATATTACGTTTCTTGACTGTCACTTTCTATAGATCTGTGAATACTGACGGCCTGATCTTGAAACCATCGCGACCAGCGACTGCAATTGACAACAGGTTACGGAAGGTAGCTGTGAATCTTGCTTTTACTCTAATATTGACCTTGGGTTGTGAATGAAGAGTCAAACATAACAATGTCATTTAATATGCTGGGTGTGGGTAGTGTTTGTGTGTGAGGGAGGGGATTAGTGTAGAGATGTATGCTTCAAAACATTTCTCAACACATGTTGTTCAGGAATACAACGTAGCATGTCCGGTTAAGGTATTTTCGGGGTAAATAATTAAATAATGAAGAATGAAAAAACAAAATCCCAGCACCACCCACCTACACACTAAGCACCATTCCCTCAAGGACCTTTCATTTCCCCATCCTCTGCCTCGGAAAGAGTCGGTGGCTAATTATCCTCATTACACAATATATTTAATCCACAACCTGTTTATGGCGCATTTATGTGTAGTGAACATCGGCACGAGACTGCAAGTCTGCCTTTAAAATAGCAAAATTATGGTTCAATTAGAAGAGCGTTTTGTTGATTACTAACTGGGATTTACACAAGGGCAAATGACAAAATTGCGAATTTAACATATTGAAATGGCATGAAATACCTTCAAGTTGATAGAACCGAGGGCTTCTTATCTACCTGATAATGCATGTTTACCAGATGGCTTGGGCAGACTTTGAGGGTCCTGATGGGGAGGTGTGGTCCACGTATTCAGATTTTGGCGGAAAGAACAAGTATGGTATCGTCCTCGCTGCCGATCTGCAGGGGAGCTACACCATGACGCCATGCATGGCTGGATATCAAGGGGTAAAATGTTACTAATTACATCCTATCATGTCTTGCTTTACTGTTATGTACTGTCTAGAAATTCATACCCACTGCTGATCTACAGGAAAGTCACACCAGTCATCTTGTATGGCTGGATATCAAGGGGTTAGATACTAAGGTCTTCTTATCGTTACTTATTTCATAAGCTATTTTGTTAAGGTTTTCGTAAATAAAACTGTAAATTTGGTCAGTTATGCAACTAAAGCTAACGTTGTTATTTTCAGTTTCCCAGCTCGATGGTATTTCCAGCAAATGATCCAAACAAGATCCAGCCTCTGACAGATCCCCAACCTTTGACAATGAGTGGTTGCACCACTACTGACTTCTGTCTCTTCTATGTATCGCCTGTACTGACGTTCAACGGGTACGGTTTATTCCATTTAAAAAAAGAGATACGTGTCAGTAGCAAAACCTATTGCAATTGTTCGAGGTACAAACCAAACAATATTAAGCTATTCTACATGACTGTATACTCTGATAACATATAAATCAAAATTACATATCATGCCATATTATAAATGTATGAACGCGAGTTATGCCTTTTGATTTAACGACATTTCGGGATATGCTCTGGCCGAATACACATTGAATATATCAAATTGATCAGTGAATGTGCAATGAAGGTATCACGAAACATATCAATTAGTGAATACACATTGAAAATATCACAAAGATATTGATTAGTGAATACACATTAAATATATGCCGAAAGATATCGATTAGGGAATATACATTGAATATATCACGAAAGATATTGATTAGTGCATATGCACTGAAGATCTCACGAAATATATCGATTCACAGATTGGAAATATTACGTAAGATATCGATAATTGAATATACATTGAAGTTACAAGAAAGAATCAAATATTTATCAACGTGGGCTGTTTATCTCTTCTCTGAAGCAAATTCAACAGCGCCTTTTCCGTGGTTATGACATTTGAAATTCAAATAAACTCATTTGTAAACAGAATCACGAGAGCTACATTGGAATCTTTAATTCTCGCTGTAAGATGGTATCACTTGATAAACAACAGTATTGCACAAAACATACGATTCAATGTTGATAAGAACGAAATGCAAAATATATACAAATGCTGACAAACAGATAAATGACATAAATGTCATTATACGGCATAACACCTGGATCTATGTCGGAGTCATGGAAAAAGATTTGTAAAACTGCGGATTCGCCACCAAATGGATAAATGGCAATGGGCAGGTGATTTCAAACGAAAGTTTATACATAGTTTAACATAAATGTACAAGAATGTTTTAGTTGAAAATAATACACATTGTAAACAAACGTTATCAGTTGTCATGTCTCTTTTTTTTGTAATTTAACGAAATTGAAGTAAAACATTGTGGCAAATTTTGTATAAATATTTTCCTGCAGCAAACAAGTTCTCATCCAGGGTGAGTTGGACAAGTGGGTGCCCATGTCACCCCAGAGAGTGACGGGCATCAACATTGCCGATGACATCACCATCAGCCTCACTGGAGCTGCCAACGAAAATGTCTCCTTCTGGTTCAACGTGGATGGTAAATCTTCACCTGTGACCTGTACTCTCGGAGCAGGAGGTCTAGCCACCCTCAGTTTCACAGCAGGTGCATGTCGTGGAGAATAGTGAACATTATATATGTGGCTGCATATCTGTAGATGCATCTATTATTTAGTTTCCGTTTGTGGTATTTTGCATTAATAGCATTTATGTTGTGAATAAAAGTGAATAAATGTTATATGAACTCTATCTTTATTTTCGTGCGTCGTATCTCTGTAAACGTGTACGTGAGTGTGTGTGTTTCTGCATTCAATCCTGGGCACAGAACACAAATTTGGTGTACCTGCATATCTGTACATACATATGTTATCAAGATTCTGTGTGTGGTATTTTGCATTTATAACATTTATGATGTTGCTGCACCCTTGAAAGTGAAAGTGATAAAATGTTAGATGAACTGTATCTTTGTTTTTTGTGTGTTGTATCTCTGCAAACGTTTGAGTAAATACACGGTTCTGATAGCTTAATCCGAAGTCAGTCAAAGCTACATTTAGGTATTCACATTATACAGGCCTTTTCTTTTGCGTTATTATAAATATTTTACGGTTGTGTACTTTTTTTTATTTGCCAACCACCACGGCGGACGCCAAACAAACTATCAATGCAACAACGGATAACACTTTCAAAATGAATAGGATATATGGAATGATACAAAAGATAACGTTAAAAGAACAAACACGGAAATACGAAACGGGTTGACTTAGAATGTTAAATGTTAGAACTTTTATTGACTCCTTAAAGATGTCTGCTCTTAAATGACACCTTTCCAAAAAAGACAACCTTTGCGGGTTTCTTTTGAATTCGATGCTTATATCAGTAAAGAAATTCACGTTGACTATTCTTTTTGGCAATACGCTCTGGATGCTTGGTCAAAATAGACTAAGAATTATATCTTAAACGATGAAAACATAAATGATTGTTCTGTCATAATCTCATTACTTCAGTAAAACTGGCAGCAGTGTTCGGGAAATGAGAAACGGAGTTACATTATTACAATGATTGGAGACACACGTATTTGCAATATAGAAAAAAGTGAACAGGATACCAAATTACTAAATTTGCAATTCAAATTCTTACACAAAATTATTGACACTAAAAGAGAGGTGAAATGAATGAAACTCGCCGACTACGATACCTCATCATTCTGTGGAATAGCAAAAGAAAAATATATGCCTTGTGTATCTGGAATGTACAATTGTCAACAACTTTTGGTAAGTTCTACAAGAATTGTTGAAATTACTAACAAAAAAATTCCTCTGGGAGGGCTGAATAAAAACTTTCTCTTTCATATTGTAATAGCAGCAAAAAGGTACATTAATGTTATGAGTATGAAAGGGTTAAAACCCTGCTCCCTAAATTTATGAAAGGTATGGAAGAAGATATTAATCACGTCGAAGAAGCTATTGCCAGAAGAAACAATACAACACATTGCTTTAATGTGAAACGGGGAAATTTTACTGATACATTAAATCCCTGCACATAACCCCTTAAACGTATCTGTTGATATTTAAGAAATCCACTACAACACATCGGTTCCCTCTTGTTACCATGTCATAGTTATCACATAGTTATCACATAGTTATCACATTCGTCCGATGTCAAAGTTTGATGCTGTACAAGTTTTTCGGCATATCTGTTTTCCAAGATGGATTTAGTGATGATGGTCTCGCCTCTTCACTCATGCAAATAGCAAAGAAATAATTTAATTGCATATTACATGGAATGTATTATCAGAAATTGTTGAGGTTAAGCCCACTGATCATCACTCGGTAATATTGGATCTATCGACATCTACACTCTGAAGAAAAGATCACTTAGATATAGACATGTTGGGTAATAATTGAAATTAGCGGTATTATAACATAACCGTTAAAGCTCTAAATTGCAATTGAACCGAACCAATTAAGGCCTGACAAGATTTGTTTTCTCAAGACTATATATTCATTTTGAAACTTTGTCACAATCCCAATATAAGATGAGATTGCTTGACTTACAAGAATCTTGTGAAGTTTCGGACTGATAATAAGTTAAAAAATCTAATATAGACAAAGAAGGCGATTGCTAGGCGAAACGTAGAAGTCATCAGCAGCAAGCCGTTTTGCAAGAACTGATGAAGAAAGCCTAGATTCGATAGATTCCTAGAAGGGAGGCCACAAAATACGCTCAAATGTATCCGATGGTCCGTCAGGACCTTTGACCGTGAAGAAATCAATTATGGGTATCACGTATAGCTACTGTGAGGTATGAATGTTACTAGGGCATGGTATCTCAGAGCTCTCACACTTTTAGACCAGCATTAGTCCGAACTAGTATCAACAGCCACATGCAAGCAGGCACAAACACCGTTCATGCGTATTGACATATGCTAACCTCGGCGATACATTTACTGAAAAGAGTTGCTACACATCAGTAACACACAGTTGCACGTGCCTAAACCATGATCCAACCTTGACATGACAATGTTATCATCTCAGATAGTGCATAACTTTGTGTGCATCATCAAGAGGTGCATAAGTCATAGCATATGACTGCGAGTCGATATCGTTTGAAGATGTGCACTAAAACTTGCATCTACCTATTTATGTCTCTGTCGCTCTGTGTCAGTAAGTATGCTCTTTACAATAATGGACGGCAAAAGATTTGGTTTTTCTATTTTGAAAAACAGTAAATATATTGTCAATACAAGAGAATAACCATCCGAGATGTTCTGTCGCTACATATTCCATGTACATATTGGCGTAAAGCGTAAATAGCTCTTGAAATTATATGAATTGACCACCTAAAATCGGTGATGAAACAAGGTGTTCGCGAACATGTCCCGCCCTTCCGGTAACATCCTCCATTCACAAAACTTTCTTTAAAAAGAAACTCACTCCTCATTTGTGAATTAATGTAGACACATCAGGTTTTGCATGTACCACACATATATACCTGTACGTGGCTTAATCATAAATCGATAGCAAATAACTTTGTACACTGTACATATTAATACACTGATCCAGAAGGTACCGAAATCCTCATACAGAACAGCTAAATCAAGTCATAATCATTTGCCTTTGAGTCGTACATGACCTGGGCGGAAGTTTGTGAAAACAATTGAAAGCTGAGGTAATGTATATGGTAAAAAACTAAGGAGAGACAAACTTTTTAAAACTACATTTCTTTTTCTCAACACCTTATTGGAAGTTTTACAGATATTTTAAAATGAAAAATACTCATTACATATCAACTTGTAATAGGCAGAATGTAAAGTAGACACGAACGCACTTAATCAAATACTTATATATCAAAATGTGTTTGCAAATATTTTTAATCACGAGTCAATGTCAAATTGTACTTTTATAACGGGTGTAAAGACCGGTAAAGTCGGTCGATAACTGTGACCTAATACTAACTTTGAGTTTGGGACCGGCAATTTTATAATGTGTGAGGGGCCTGGATTTTCTTTGGCGGCAAGATATTGCTTCATCTACAACAGATAGGTAAACAAGATATGTTTTAGGTTATAACCATGAGTCTTATTTTCTCCAATAAAAACACCTTGCAACAATGTCATATTTGTGGCAGACAATTTCTTTTGTCAGCGCTAAAATCGCGCTTGTGAATAACGAACTTCGGATACAACGAATCTGTTCCTGTTCGTTATGTTCGGTGGAGGAACGTTTTGTTTACATTTGGAACTTAGTGACCTAATTGGCAGAAAGTTATTTTCGTTTTCGCTATGTTCATATCATGAGCTTATGATGGCGTATTTACTTACCTACTCAATAGGGAGGAAACTGTTGTTTTAATAATGAATACGCTTTCATAGTAGCAGTCTCCGAGGAAAAGCAGGACTTTGCTGTGAATGTAAACGATGACGGCACATACAACGTCGTTGTCCAGGGAGATGTGTGGCTGAAGAGCGCCCCCACCTTCTTCAGAGCTGATGGCCAAGTGTTCTCCTCTGCCGATGGATCTCTGAAGCTGGTCAAGAACACTCAGTCCAGTGGTGTGGACGTCATAGGGCAGTGGGAGGCCAACAGCTTCCTGTACCAGGCAGGGTCCAGTCAGATCGAGGCCAGCTTTGTACAGTACACACCGGATCCAAGCGTATTCACCTACAACAATCCGGCCATACCGTTCACGCTGTTCAAACAGGTGATTAAACATAGCTTAGGATTGTAAATGTATTTCATGATTTCTGTTCATACCGAGAGAGGAGAGGAGTGCAGCTTCTCCGTTTACTCTTCACACCTTAAAACATAGCTCAGGATATTTATATTTATATCTGTTATATATGTCATTCCATAAATATGTTCGTCACTAGTGGTGAACGCCCCTGTGCTCGTTGTCCTTACTAAAGTGGTAAATGTCTGGTTTCGTTGTCCTTACGAAAGTGGTTAATGTACCTGTGTTCGTTGTCCTTACGAAAGTGGTTAAAGTACCTGTGTTCGTTGTCCTTACGAAAGTAGTAAACGTCCCTGTGCTCGTTGTTCTCACTAAAGTGGTAAACTTGCCTGTGCTCATTGTCCTCACTATAGCGGTGAACGTGCCTGTGCTCGTTGTCTTCACTAAAGTGGTAAACTTGCCTGTGCTCGTTGTCCTCACTAAAGCGGTGAACGTGCCTGTGCTCGTTGTCCTCACTAAAGCGGTAAACGTGCCTGTGCTCATTGTCCTCACTAATGCGGTAAACGTGCCTGTGCTCGTTGTCTTCACTAAAGCGGTAAACGTGCCTGTGCTCGTTGTCCTCACTAAAGCGGTAAACTTGCCTGTGCTCGTTGTCCTCACTAAAGCGGTGAACGTGCCTGTGCTCGTTGTCTTCACTAAAGCGGTAAACGTGCCTGTGCTCGTTGTCCTTACTAAAGCAGTGAACGTGCCTGTGCTCGTTGTCCTCACTAAAGTGGTAAACTTGCCTGTGCTCGTTGTCCTCACTAAAGCGGTAAACGTGCCTGTGCTCGTTGTCCTTACTAAAGCAGTAAACACTCCTGTGCTCATTGTCCTCACTATAGCGGTGAACGTGCCTGTGCTCGTTGTCCTTACTAAAGCAGTAAACACTCCTGTGCTCGTTGTCCTCACTATAGCGGTGAACGTGCCCGTGCTCGTTGTCCTCACTAAAGCGGTAAACGTGCCTGTGCTCATTGTCCTCACTAATGCGGTAAACGTGCCTGTGCTCGTTGTCTTCACTAAAGCGGTAAACGTGCCTGTGCTCATTGTCCTCACTAATGCGGTAAACGTGCCTGTGCTCGTTGTCTTCACTAAAGCGGTAAACGTGCCTGTGCTCATTGTCCTCACTAATGCGGTAAACGTGCCTGTGCTCGTTGTCTTCACTAAAGCGGTAAACGTGCCTGTGCTCATTGTCCTCACTAAAGCGGTAAACGTGCCTGTGCTCGTTGTCTTCACTAATGCGGTAAACGTGCCTG